TCACATGCACCATCATTCATCCAGTCAGCTGTGGAGCCTTCACACGTAAATCATTTAGGACCCCACAAACTGCATATGGAGGGTAAGGTTCGGGGCCACCAGCACTGGAAGCAGACATCAGGGAGGTCCCTCCGAAGGGAGGACACAGCATCTGCTCTTGGTGGACATGCTGCTAAGCAGTAATGCTTCTCATCGGTGGTGCAGTTTACTCATACTTCACCAGTCGCAGGCTGAGCTTGGCGTGTGCACTGCTTTGTTCACTCCTCTGACAACATGGCCAGCAGAGATTTTTTATTCCTATTTGCAAGTGAGGAAACTGAGGTCTTCAGAGATAACTCACCTAATGTCCAGCCACTCTGGGGAATGGGGCCAGGCTGGGAACCCAGTTGTATTACCTGGTAGAGCCTGCTTTGAACCCACCTGGCTGCATTCACAGCCCTCACCAGGGAAAAGGGACAGAAGGTGCATCTCTGGGCTGACGAAAGACAAGGAGGAAAGGCATGAAAGCAGGAGGGAGCTCATTGCTGTGAGGTCAACCCTGTGGCGTTGCTGAGTGGGAAGAGACCTGTAGATGGAGCAGAGACCCCAGAGGAAGGGCGGCAGCCAGGGAGTTGTGCACATCGCCCCCTAGATTTCACACTGTGGGGCTGTTTCCTTAGCAGGCTGAGCCAGGCACGTGCTACCTGCATCCTTGCATCTTTCGGTTGTGTCCTCAGAGTCTCGGGATGTGCGTGTCACCTGTGGCATTCTGAGCCCACAGGCCCTGGCGCAGAGCTGGCAGGAGTACTCTTCTCACCTGTATGTTTTCCAGATCACTGTGGATTTCAGCTGTGTCACTGCAGATTCCTCACTCTGACTCACTGGCTTTTAATGTCAGGAGAGAAAACTAAGCAGCATTTTGCAGTTTTCAGTAAGATGCTCTAAATATACTCGGATACTATTCCAATGCGAACTGGCTGCAGTGACTGCACAGGGCGGTGGAGCGGATCTCTCAGGCGGACTTGGATGTCAGTCCTTCCTGCTGTCTGGCTGGAATGGTCATGCGGGTGGAGCACAGAGGCCGTCAGCCAGACTCCTAGATTTCAGCTCGGTGATAACAGGTACCGATCCTCATGGAGCACGGTCTAGGGCACTTAATGCAGGAGTCTCACTTAGTCATCCTAGCAACTTGGAAGGGTCCTCCAGGGTGGTTCCCATTTTATAGATGGGAAGGCGGAGGCTTGGGCAGGCAGAGTGCTTACTCATGGTAAGCTGAATTAGCACCAGACAGGAAGGGTTGACGTTCTTTTTATTCAAGTTTTGAGCTGAGCCACCCAGGTGGCCTAAGAGGACGAACTTGACCTGGAAACTTGACCTGAAGAAGTGGGTGGGTTGAGAGTTTTTTAAAAAGGAAAATCTCATTTTTAAAAGGAGAGTATTTAAAAAGAAAAATTGTTTTAAAATTCCAATCCCTGGTTTCCTATGTCACTGGGCCCCTTGGGAGACACTGCTGAACCTGTCACT